ACTAGAATATTATGTTTTGATTAAAAATTTAATTTTGAAGTCATTTAAAAATTTACAGCATTTTTTTTTATTTTTCCTGCGAATTTTCCATAAAAATCTTGTTTTAATCAACATTTTTAATGGGATAAAAAGATTCAAAAAAATCATTCCATAATTTATTCTTAAAGTCCATTCAAAACCGGAGAAAATGAGCCTTTAATGGATGAAATCGGTTGGAAATTGTCGAAGTTATGAGCATTTTTGTAAAACACTTAAAAATGTTGCTGAAATACAAAAGCTTTAGAGTTCCTTTTCTAGGTGTCGTTGTAAGCATCCAAATCGCATGTAAAGTTTTCATGGGAGATTCTTTTCTCTACATATCAATTTGATTAAGGCATATCAGGATCTAAAACCGAGTTGATACAAAAGAAATTTATTTAGGTTTTATTAAAAATGATCGAGAATCGAATGACTTTGTCTTCGATGTTTTGAACTTGTTTCTCGAATCAGAAACCAACAATAGTCACCCATCATTGCTTCATCCCAAAACCCTTGGTAACGACGTTCCATCATCTTCATTTGTTGGTGAAAACGTTCGCCGTGCTCATCACTCTCGTCACCAAGATTTTCCGGGAAAAAAACCATGTGAGAATGTAGGAAATGTATCTTCAAAGACATATTCACACCTGTGTTCAGTGAAATAAAAGGATTTGAAATTAATTATATGTAACAAACACAATATTTTTGATTTATACCTATTTTCTCATTATTTTTGAGCAATTCATCGACGGCTTCCTCATAATCTGGGCTTCTGAAATTTCCTAAAAAGGTTGTGACAACACGCTGGAACGATTTCCACGCTTCTTCCTCATCTGGTGTCAAAACTGTATTGAATGCGGAATCATTGAGCAGTTTTTTGATCTGTGGGCCAACAAATACACCTTCCTTTATCTTTGCGTCAGATAAATTTGGAAATACTGATTTCAAGTACTGGAATGCCGGCCCTTCTTTTTGCAACGCTTTGATGAAATTTTTGAATAGCCCAAGTTTTATATGTAGTGGTGGAAGTATTACGCGTTCTTTTACCACAAGAGGATCATTTTTAACGTTGTCTTTACCAATTGTGAAATTATCCCGTTTTGGCCAATCTTTTCGGACGTAGTGTTCCTTACGAGCTCGACTGTCCTTTTTACACAAAAAACACATATATTTTGTGTATCCCTGTTGCAATCCAGTCAACAAGGCAACCACTTTAAGATCGGAACAAATTTTCCAATTGTGTTGATTGTAATTTATCAAATTGAGCAATAGAGCCATTGATTCATACGTTTCCTTCATATTAACGGCATGAGCTAATGGAATAGAAGGTTTCTCATTCCCTTGATGCAGTAAAACGGCTTTCAAGCTCAACTTGCTGCTATCGATGAATAAACGCCATTCAGCTGGATCATATGGCTCACCAAACTCTTCAAACAAGCCGTTTACGTCATGGCAAAAACATGCCTTGTCCTTTGTAGAATAATATTTGTCAAATTTCTTGTGACGATTCCTGTGACAAGAAATTTTGACCTCCTTGCTCAGCATGTTGTGTTCTTTCAAGCGTGATGCCAGCAATTCGGATTTCTCCTTCGATAAGTCGAGATCTCGCACCAAATCATTAAATTCGGATTGTGTAAACAGTTTTGGGTTTCTTTCCAATTCCACCTCGAAGTCTTCCTCGCATTCCTCCTTGAATTCTTCCTCACTTTTTGTAACGGTCGATTCAACAGAGGGCGCTCGTTTCCGCTTTGGATAAACAGGATACGGGACCGAACTTGAATGTGGAACAGGTTTTGTCATAGAAGCCACTTGTTGATACTCAACTGTTTTGTGACGTCCTTGTTGCTTAACTTTTGTCAAGCAGAAATAACAATCCGTTGCATGACAAAACGGTCGACGCCATATGGTGGGCATGTCAAAGGACAAATAGCGACTGACAGATAACAAATAAGTGAGTTAGTAAGTACGACATTAACACTTATCAAAAATAGATGAAGTAAGATAATGTCGATCAGGAAAGAACAAAGCACTACCATGCTGTACATAAATTGTTTATATGAAAGTTATTCAAAAAATCAATTTACCTTGCGCCTGACATCCACCTAGCCAAGCACGTTTTGCACGAACTACATAATACTTTTGGAATCCACGGTTCGTCAAAGTCTCCAGGATCAATTTTAAAATAAAACCTGTATGCAGTTTGCAACGAAGCAGTGAAATTGACCGATTTTGTAAATATATAGTTGCCACACGCGTAACAAAACTTTTGAGGATCATTTTTACACTTGATTTCACGTTTTGTCGTATTCATCGTTAAGCAATGTTAAAGAAAGAAAGCTGTCAAATTGAGTTGGTTGCGTTAGGCTCTCGCCGAGCGGTCTCACAAACCCTAGCGTAAATTATATTGTTGAAAATATCCCATTTAATTTTGCGTGACAGCTGGTAGTGTTAGTGAAATGCACCGTATGCGTACACGTCCGCAGAAAGGCTTACTGGAAGTGGTGCATGAACCTAGGAGCGGGGCAACGGCCAATCTTGGAACATTCAATTTCCATGATTTTACAAAAAATTTCATAACTTCGACAATTTCCAACCGATTTCATCCATTAAAGGCTCATTTTCTCCAGTTTTTAATGAACTTTAAGAATAAATTATGGAATGATTTTTTGAATCTTTTTATCCCATTAAAAATGTTGATTAAACAAGATTTTTATGGAAAATTCGCAGGAAAAATAAAAAAAATTCTGTAAATTTTTAAATGACTTCAAAATTGAATTTTTAATTAAGACATAATATTCTAGTGAACGATAGCAAATTTATTTAGCTTCATTTTCATAAAAAAAAAGATTTAAAATTGGTGCTCTAGTTCCAAAGATATTGACATTTTAGTAATCGTACTTTTGTCCAAAATTCAAAAAATCAAAATTTTTGTATATCTCAAAAATGGCTCTACTTTAATTTTTTCTGACCACGGCATTGAATTCAGCGTAGGATTTTGCATTAGAAACGTTGTTCAACCACTAAAGTTCACACTTTTTATGTTGTTTTGTAAACTAGTGTAATCGTTCCATAAACTTGCTGAAATGCTCCATAAACTACGTTGCCTTCAGATTAATTGTCCTATTCATGTTTTTATGAAATCTGAGGGCTACGCGGTAATTGAGCGTTTCTCATTTATGGAGCAATTATTCGCTTTAAACGCTGCAAAAACCTTTTTCCAAAGGCATTGCATCGATGTTTAGGAAAATATAATTAATTAAAGACGAAAAAAAAAACTCCTACTGAACCGTCGAACTGCAAACTTGCAATCATTACTCAACCATTTGGTGAGAAATTTCAAATGCTTTGGAAAGTTATAACTTGTACTTTTCATCAGCACCAGAACTTTTGAAATTCGTCAATATGTGTTATGATTTTTCAAAAGTTCGGCGTCTTTTCACAAAACCTGCTCATGTTTACATTACATTAAAAAAAATTTCTGTCACGCAACATTTTCAGGCCTAAAATTCTAAGGCCAGAAATCACGATTTAAAGATTTTAATTAAAAAAACCAAAGGACACGAAAAAAAAGCGTTTCTATGACTTCCAATACAACATTTGTTTCGAAGGGGAGGAGGGAGGATAAAAAATAACCAATTTAAGCGTTACGTAATTTGCGAATGAAACCTATGGTACTTAGCATCAAAAACAAAAAATGTTCCTACGGCCAGGAAAAGGAATTTTTAAGATTTTTACACCAAAGTAGGCATTGAACGTTCCTACACTGATTTGATCGGTAGCATGATTAAAAAAATATTAAAACATTAGAAAAAAAATAAAAATAAAAAAATATTACAAACAAGAAAAAAAAAATGAAATATAAAAAAAAATATTAAAAATAAAAAAAAATATTTAAATAAAAACAACATATTAAAAATATATAAAAAACACTTACAAAAAAAATAAAGATAAACCTATTAAAAATAAAAAAAGAAAATTTTTAAATATATAGGGGAAACGCTCCTATAGTTGCGGTACGTTAGAAGCGTTAGGTTCCTATAGTTGTGTACGGAGTCTCCATACACAACTATAGGAACCTAACGCTTCTAACGTACCGCAACTATAGGAGCGTGAGCCGACGTTAAATTGAAATTTGAACTATTCAAACTAACAGGATCCTACGGTTTAAAAAAGGATACACCAAGTCAAATCAAGGAGGTGTGTTGAAATATATTTTCCTTTGGGTCGATCCCACTTCTTAACAGCACTGCATCTTCCATACTGTGCTTCCGAGCGAGAGCTTACAAGTAAACTAAACCTTGATTTTTTTTACAGGAGTCAGAGTTTTTCAATTACTGAAAAACTCGGTTAAAATTCAAATGACCGTTATTCGCAAAGATTCGATAAAATCGACAGATAAGTGTGTGAACCAAAAGGTCATCATAAACACACGTGTTCCGTTATTAACTTTTTTTTTAAATTAGTGTTTCCTGCGCCAGTCCACTGTTGTCCATTGTCTGTATTTGGTTTAGTGACATTCTTATTTTTCGCGGGCAACACACTATTTCAAAACTACCCAAATTTGGGTAGAGTCTATCCAAATCTCCCAAAACTAAACCTACCCAAAAATGGGTAAAGTATGTTGGGAGTGACAAGTTGAAAAATTAAAAAAGTCGATCGGTTTCATGTCGATGTTGTCCATTTGTCAACTTGTCACTCCCAACACAGTTTACCCATTTTTGGGTAGGTTCAGCTTTGACCGATCTGGGTGGATTGTACCCAAAATTGGGTAGTTTTGAAATAGCGTGTAGCGCTGTGTTGCCACAGTTTACATTTCACTCATTGCATCGTAAGGTGAGTAATCATTTGAACTCACGCAGCCATTTTCCATTTATTCAAAAAGCAAGAGAAAATAGGCCCTTTCGAAAGCCCGGTCCCCTTTTTGTTCATTAATTTATCAGTTGTGTGCCGGTATGCTACTTGTTTGTTTGGGTTTGCCAGTGCATTCGTGCTTGTCTAGGAAATAAAAACAGAAATCATTTTTAGCAGTAAATTTTAGAGGCAAAATGAAACCATTTGTCGTAATTCGAAGACTTGAGGGTCAAGACAACTTGCAGTGCCAAAATGTCGTGAAGGATTTCATTATGGCCGGTGCTTGGGATGCTTTTGTATCATGTCTATTCCGAGAGGTATAATTAAGTGAAATGGTGCTGGGCATTGATTGTTGTTGCTCGGGGGATTCCCTTTTGTGTAGGAATTTATCGATTTTCTTGTTTAGAGTCTGATTAGAATATCTAGTCTTGCTTGAAAGACATTTGATGTTTATGTGAATTGAACTGCACATTTTTTTTCAGATCACACTTCAGATGGTTGTTATTGTATGGGCCATAATGTTTATTTTCTTCGGAATTCCACTCCTCATGTGCTGTGTAGCGATACCGGTGGTGGTTGGACTGATTATGTTTACTACGTACGGGAGTTACTTCAACAAAGCCAATGAACTTGCCATGAGAGGGGGTAGTAAGTTATGCTGGGTTGCTGAAATATACGAGCCACTTGTTTACAATGGCTTAACGAAGGGTTGGGAGATAGATCAGTTCTATGATGACGTTCCGGAAGGAGACAAAACGGAAACCAGCAAAATGAGAAGGAAGATTGTGGGAACCATAAGCTGCAAGAGTCATCTCATAATGGAGAGTTCCGGATGGATTTATCGACTGGCGGTTTGTCCAAAGTACCCATTCAGAGAGATTGCTGAGCATCTGATTATTAGGGTGCTGCAAAATGCCTGCGATAATCAACTATTTACGATAGAAACGGTTACTTCCGAGTGTGATGAAAGCATCAGAGAAGTGTACCTAAAATTGGGGTAAGATTGCGAGAATGATTCCTTTGAATGTTGCAATTCTATTCTATTTTCATTTTCAGATTTACTTTGAGACTAGTGTATCACAAACAAATAATTGGAAACACGTTGAAAGTTATGAAATCGCAGCTTGGAATTGACCCTATTGAATGGAATCAATACAGAGAACAAATCAAAGTGGAACTTCAGTAAACACCCGTGATATCTGATATTAATCAGGAGCTGTGCGAGTAATTTAACAATTGTTTTGTTACAAATTCTTCAATGTCTTCATAATTGGCAGCAATATTTTACAATTTTAGTGGATCAGTGTAACGCTGTAATCTAAATGTATTTAATCAAGACTCAGATTCAGTATCTCTCGCGTATTTGAAGGGGGTTAAATTACCATTTACAATTAACACACTCTCTCATTCTAGCAACGTTCATTTAGCAAACTCGAAACGAAATTATCGCAAACCCATTAACTGTGCCATTTTTGGTAGTAGTTGAATATCTCAAATTTACTTTTACTAACAATATATCTAACAAGTCTATCTACAATATACAACAACAAATATGTATTCCCATCTTATTTCACTTTCCGATAAACCCAAACGGAGTCAATTCCGTCTTCTATGGTTTTTGTTGGTTGCAAGGTTGGGAATGGGAATCGACAAGCAATTATTGTTGATTCTGGTTTTGCTTCAGCTTTAATTTTTTGCTCTAAATCCGCCATCTAGAAAAAATAATAAGCATCATCATGAAACTCACATCTATTTCAAAATCACCGGTTAACTTACCATCTGTTCCACTCCGAAGATCACTATGTTATTGTATCCGGATATGTCATACTTCCATAAATCCTTACGGAAGAATTTCGTCCGTCCGAATGCACCGTCTTTCAGAGCCGCCAGTCTGGAGTAGTATACCAACCAGGGATTCAGTTCCACCCCATGCGCTTCCACTTGAAGTCTCTTGGCAGCAGCAATCACAATCCTGCCATCGCCGGAACCAATGTCCAACAGTTTGTTGGAACCCCCAGTCTGAGCCCGTCCTACCGATGACAGAACATTTTCAATCTGCTTCGTTGTTGCCGGCACGTACGGAAGGCAGTGTTTACGCAACGCCGGTGCAACGAATGGATAGCAAACGATGGAAAGACCGACCGCAATGCCACCTTAAATCGAAATTGTTGAATTATGGATGAATTGAGGTGTTCTCGGTGAGTCGCCTACCTGTTACTCCGATTAGTATTTTACCCGAAAGGGACTTTTTCTTAGGGGCATCGATATTTCCCGTAACACCGAGTGTCGTAAGTGCGTTCAGTTCGTTTGTTGACATTTTCGATAGCTGTCGCGTTTTTATTTAACACATATTCTCCGAAAAGCAAAAGTAAACAAGGTGTCTAGTGAAGTGTCAATCACAGTTGATATGTCAAAATGTACTCGCTGTCTGGCAACCAATATTGGCTGCGTGCTTTATGATTTATTTTTCATTTGAATCTAAGATAAGATCAGACAACTTGCCTCTTTTTTCACGTTCACCGCTTATGTTGAAAGTTGCTCAAACCAAATCAAAACAAACAGTCTTAATGGTAGTTTTTACTTCACTAATAAACTTCAAAATCAACCAATCAGCGACTGGATCACAAAGTGGATCCAAATCTATTCCGAGTTGACCAATCTTATCTTAGGTTTGAATTATACACGGTAAGAAAAAAGTACTCAAAATTGGCTTCCTTTCACGCAACACGTGGCTACCGTTGGGCTACACGCTTTTTACAACTACCAAAATTTGGGTAGAATCCTCACAGATCGGTCAAAACGAAACTACCCAAAAATGGGTAAACTATGTTGGGCGTGACAACATCGAAATGAATCCGATCGACTTTGTTCATTTGTCAACTTTTCACTCCCATCATAGTTTACCCATTTTTTGGGAAGGTTCAGTTTTGACCCATCTGGGTGTATTCTACCGAAATTTGGTTAGTTAAAGAAGAAAACTCAATTTAGTGTAATCCTGATCAAGAATCCATTGAGTGAAAATTACCTCACCATCAATCGAATGGAATTGGTAAAATTTATACCATTTTATTACCCAACGTTGGAAGACAATTTGTATGATTTTCCATTCTTTAGAATGGAAATCAGTGAACGAATGGCAACCAAAGTAAAATTAAATTGATTTGATTCAATTTAATGGAGCCCAAACGGAGGCGATGGAGCACACAAAAATGACAGCATCGACGGCAGCGCAGCCCGCATAACATAATCGTAAACAATAAAAGGATGATTCACAGTATCATCACCATATCACCATAAATAAGTATATCTGGACGATTCTAGTCAGCGTGTATAAAAATGATAAGCATATAATACCATGAATTGTCCTGAAGATACCATATATTGGCGGTTAAGTATAATTACCATTCCATAAGGTTGATATTTTAGAACAAAATTTCAGGTTTACTGTAAGACATATAGCTTTTTTATAATCAATTTTAAAATCATAAAACTATATGTCATAACATTCTGGGACATTTGGATTATTTAATTTGGTTTTTAAAAGGAAAGTAAACGTTATACTCTGTAAATGGTTTATTGAGGTAATTTAACATTCTGGTGTATTTTCTAGTTATATTCAAACGATTTAATTCCATAAGGGCTTACCATATCCCATATAGCTTGTATTTATTCCTTTTTCTTCGATCAGGGACTATGACTGATCTTAACCTTACAACTACTGACAGTATGGTACCATTATTTAAGTGGTCTGCTAATATAGTGGTACCATGTTGACAGTAGATGTGCGATCGAATTCAGCCACTAATTTATTCTTAAGAAAAGCCCACCTTCACTCAAACACAAAAGTAAATTTTCGAAAGAAAAGCTTTCAGCATTTTAAGCTTTATTAATTAAGCTTTACATGATATTTAGATTCCCAATCAACTGTCAATTCTATGACCGCGCCTTGTCCGTCTGTTTTCGGGTGTATTTCAGGCATTTGCTTATCAATCAGGTTCAGCCTCGATCCAGCTCTTCGCTGCCGTCGCCCAGAATATCCTGTGAGTCGATTTGGTTGAAGTTTCCATTTCCAGCCTCTGATAATGCTACGAAAAATGCACCCATCATCTCGAATAACCTGAGAGATTGTCCCGAACCCTGCCATTCTCAGCAACTTCTGCTGGTACAATAACAGAATCCTGCGTAATCAAATCCAGCGATACGATGATATTTGAGTATTTGGCTTCTGCTTCAGGTGCAGCTGTAGATAGATCAGCTAGAAAATCTTGCGATTTAATGACAGTTGAGTCCCCAGCTCTGTCTACCACTAATAGGTACACGTAGCCGATTCTTGATTCTCCTTGTGCTGCTTCAAGAGAATCTTGCGATACGATGATCGGGTCTTCAGCTCTGTCTGCAAGCTTCTCCTTGTCCTTAAGTGCAGCTTGCAGCTAAAAATTTAAAGTAAACATTATTTATGGATTGTTCATTTTTTCTTACAAATCAACTAACTTTCCAACGCACGCAATTCTGCTACGTTCAGCTCATACGCAGCTTGCACTTGTTGGCGTTTTTTAGCCCGGAGTGCGGGATTCTAGAATTGTAGATTTTTTGTAAAAAAAAATAAGGTGAAAAAATTATATAATACTCACTTTTATCTTGTTTTGCAACAGGTAGCTGAAGTTGCTTTCTCTTTGGTGGTATTGTTAGGCTGGTTTTTCAATTTCTGCGCTAGCTTGTCAATGAATGCCACTCAGAAATTTTACCCTTTGTGGTGTCAGCAGCAGAAAATCGAACGATGCTTACAATTACTAAATAAAAACTATTTGTGGTATCAGCAGCGAATCGCAATATGATTTACATTATGAGTGTGCTCATAGTTTGTGTAGAAGTATTTGTTCAATGTTATGAACATGAGCATAAACGTCACCACTTAACATTACAAGCCACAAATAATATTTGACATACAGTAAACAATAACAATAATCCACGCTACTTGGAAAATTTATCTTAACGTTATTGCTTCTGTGACCATCCAATTAAAATTAGGTAGCGTTTACGAGCTCAAAACATTCTGAAGTAGATTATAACACATTATTCCAACATTCTATGGGAAAAAGTAACTGCATGCTGTATTGTTAATTTGGGATTGAATATGGTATGTGATTATTGAGGAAGACCAGTTTGATTGTAAATAGACGATGACACATATAGTAACGATATATTTTATGTCAAATTTATAATGAGTACTTTTCAGCAAATAGTGTTTGATTATGCGGGAGGCTGCTATGATTTTCATCCAAAAATAAGTTAAAAATACGCAACGGTGAAAACATTACGATTGGGTACTCTCAACTGAAAAATGAGTTCTTTTTTACTTTGAATTGCAGCTTGTTTTATTAAAATGAATTTTATTAAAAATATATTTCCGAGGGGATTGAAACTAACCCATATAACATTTCATTTAATAGATTTCGATAAAATTTGCCTCTTAAGTACGATAAATACGATTCGTAATGAATAACAGGCGCCAGCAAATATCATCCGATTTCATCTATTTTTAATCGATAATCTTGGATAAGTCGAAGTTATGCCAGTTTATACCTAAGAGGAAGAGGAGACATTACAGGGGCGAAAACGAACCACTTTTCTGTCAAACGTGAACCAGCTTGTGATTGGTCGATTTGAATTGCGTAAGATAGAGATAGAGATAGAGATAGAGATAGAGATAGAGATAGAGATAGAGATAGAGATAGAGATAGAGATAGAGATAGAGATAGAGATAGAGATAGAGATAGAGATAGAGATAGAGATAGAGATAGAGATAGAGATAGAGATAGAGATAGAGATAGAGATAGAGATAGAGATAGAGATAGAGATAGAGATAGAGATAGAGATAGAGATAGAGATAGAGATAGAGATAGAGATAGAGATAGAGATAGAGATAGAGATAGAGATAGAGATAGAGATAGAGATAGAGATAGAGATAGAGATAGAGATAGAGATAGAGATAGAGATAGAGATAGAGATAGAGATAGAGATAGAGATAGAGATAGAGATAGAGATAGAGATAGAGATAGAGATAGAGATAGAGATAGAGATAGAGATAGAGATAGAGATAGAGATAGAGATAGAGATAGAGATAGAGATAGAGATAGAGATAGAGATAGAGATAGAGATAGAGATAGAGATAGAGATAGAGATAGAGATAGAGATAGAGATAGAGATAGAGATAGAGATAGAGATAGAGATAGAGATAGAGATAGAGATAGAGATAGAGATAGAGATAGAGATAGAGATAGAGATAGAGATAGAGATAGAGATAGAGATAGAGATAGAGATAGAGATAGAGATAGAGATAGAGATAGAGATAGAGATAGAGATAGAGATAGAGATAGAGATAGAGATAGAGATAGAGATAGAGATAGAGATAGAGATAGAGATAGAGATAGAGATAGAGATAGAGATGATAGAGATAGAGATAGAGATAGAGATAGAGATAGAGATAGAGATAGAGATAGAGATAGAGATAGAGATAGAGATAGAGATAGAGATAGAGATAGAGATAGAGATAGAGATAGAGATAGAGATAGAGATAGAGATAGAGATAGAGATAGAGATAGAGATAGAGATAGAGATAGAGATAGAGATAGAGATAGAGATAGAGATAGAGATAGAGATAGAGATAGAGATAGAGATAGAGATAGAGATAGAGATAGAGATAGAGATAGAGATAGAGATAGAGATAGAGATAGAGATAGAGATAGAGATAGAGATAGAGATAGAGATAGAGATAGAGATAGAGATAGAGATAGAGATAGAGATAGAGATAGAGATAGAGATAGAGATAGAGATAGAGATAGAGATAGAGATAGAGATAGAGATAGAGATAGAGATAGAGATAGAGATAGAGATAGAGATAGAGATAGAGATAGAGATAGAGATAGAGATAGAGATAGAGATAGAGATAGAGATAGAGATAGAGATAGAGATAGAGATAGAGATAGAGATAGAGATAGAGATAGAGATAGAGATAGAGATAGAGATAGAGATAGAGATAGAGATAGAGATAGAGATAGAGATAGAGATAGAGATAGAGATAGAGATAGAGATAGAGATAGAGATAGAGATAGAGATAGAGATAGAGATAGAGATAGAGATAGAGATAGAGATAGAGATAGAGATAGAGATAGAGATAGAGATAGAGATAGAGATAGAGATAGAGATAGAGATAAAAGAGTAAGAAGTTATTTATGTTACCACTGTCACAAAAGTCAGACACACTTCTTTCTGACGTTTAAAATTTATTCACTGGTTGTCTACCAAGTCCTCCACAATA